CCCGCCTGAGCTCTGGCCCCAGAGTGGATGCATGGCCTCTGTAACCAGCCAGAATGGCAAGGCAGATGGGGAGGTTTCCTGGGTCTGATATAGGGCTGGGTGGCGGAACTAGCAGGTCCCCTCACAGCCACATGGAGGCTTTCTGAGGTGCTTCCAAGAGATTTATCTCTTCTCCAAATACGGGTCTTCTGGATAGAATTCTTGCGGTCTGAGCAATTCTGGCACCTTCTTGGAAGAAAGGAAAAGAAACCCCTCCCAAATGTGGAATTCAGACTGGGACCCCGCATTAACCTCTAGGACTGCCCTCTAGGAACTGTGAGGGGATTCACCCTCCTTTCCTCCTACTGAACATCTGCCAAGTGCATCCCTTCCTGGGACAGAGGTCAACTCCCCCTTCTCCCTGGGCATGAAGTGTAAGGGGAATCCTGAATGGCTGGATCAGGGATGGGGCACACTGCTCCACCCACAATGCCTCAGTAACTGCTCCAGCCTCTGGCAGACCCACCCAGGAAAGTGGATTTGACCTTTCATTCCAGCCTTTCCCTGTCCCATCAGTGCTCCTGGCCAGGCTATCCCAGGCTCATGGCCACACTTGGGCTATCTGAGACATCCCTGATCCTTCAGGGATCAATATCGCTTGACCTGAAAAGTTACTGAGAACCCCACCTTCCTGATGCCATCCCCCACATTCTCCACTTGTCTACGGAGGACGGACTGCCTGCCTTGTTTGCAGGAAAACCAGAGATGGGACCCCTTCCCTTCCCATTTCTTCCCTCCTGCCTTGGACCTCAGGGGTGCGGCCCCCACCAGGCAGAGCCTGCCCTCCACCTGCTCCAGGGCCCTTCTTCCCAGGTACAGATATAAAAGGGCCCAAATCTCTCTTGTCCTTTGACGCCCAGCAACACACACTCCTTCTTTAGGGAGAAAGCAGATATACCATTCCCCGGCGTGGGGTACACGAAACAGACGCTGCCCCTAGGCCTCAGGACACACACTTGGCCAGCATCACAGTGACCCGACCACAGCTCCTTCCACAAACTCAGCCCATCCAAGCTGGCCAGGCCACGTTCCTGCAGCACCCAGGCCTCACGGACTCCACACAGCACACAGCTTTCACTGACAAACCTCCCCTTGAGGGTCACAACAACCCAATAAGATATGGCAGGGCAGGAACTGCGCGTCTCCCTCCTGCCAAGATGAAGAGCTGGGCCAAGGGATGGGCAGTGATCTGCCTAGGGCTCCGTGGCGGGGCATAGCAGTTCCAGGACCAGACCCCAAGTGCCCCAGGTCTATCTAGGCTCTCATCAGAGTAACCTCCTCCCAACTGCTGTCCTCCTCCATGAAGGCAAATCTTACCGGCCTCTCAAACACCAGGCCCTGTGGCCCTTTGTGGAGACCAGCATATGGGGTGACCTCCTCTGGCTCCTGGAGGCCAGGCCGGCCCAGAGCTGCCTCCTCTCATCTACCCCAACCAGGCCTGCTCCATACCACCACGGCCCCCCTCACTGAGTCCCCTCCAACATGGGTCCATTGCTGAAAACCACCTCAACTCATACCATGCCACAGACGTAGGACACGCACGGGCCACAAGACACAGCCCCCTGTCCTGCACAGACAGACCTATGTGATCACACACAGGATCACATAGACACAAAGAGGGACACACCGGACAGAGAACCAGACACATGAAGTCCTACTAAGACAATGTCTGCTGTCAAAGAGGAACACAGGCAGAGTCTCACAGAGGCAGGAGGGAATCTGAGAGCCCTAAGCTACCCAGCCATGGTGTGAGTCACACCTGCAACCACACAGTCACACCCACCACGTCCCTGTGTGCTCCCACACTCACATACAGGGGCCCTGGAACACTCACATACAGGGCACCCTCACAACCCCCCAGAAACACCCTGACTGCTTAGGGCAGGCCCCACACACACCTTCACATCCATGCATTTATTCAGGGGCATGGCCAGGGCCAGATCACCTCCAAACCAGGTACAAGGATCCCCGAGATGCATGCACAGTCAATGCCATGCTTACTTTCCGCCTCCTTCCTTCCCTCCCTCCCTCCCGGGGCTGGCCCAAGAATGGAACAAAAGCCCAGCGTCCCCTCCTCCCCCTCCTCTCCTCCCCCCTCCCCCCTGGCGTCCAGCCCCTTTGTCCTCCTGCGGCTGAGCTGGAGCAGGAGTCCAGGCAGAGCGGCAAGGACACCAGAGCCCGGACTGCCAGGGTGCAGCAGCGGGACATACAGGAGTGGTCAGGAGAAGAGCAGCAGCTGTAGAGCACCTGTGTGAGGCCATGGCCAGGTAAGTGCCAGGTACATCCGGGGACTTGGCCCCTGAACCGGCAGGGCTGTGTGGCGTCTACAAGGCTGAGTATGTGTGTGTTTGTGTGCATGTGACTGGGTGTGGGTGTGAACAAGTAACAAGGGGGCATGCCAACTTCTAGGGGCAGGACCTCTTAGTTTGCATCAGGACTCTTGGCTGGAGGTACGTAGATTCTTAGCTAGGACGGGAGAATGTCCAGTGGAGCCTGGCCTGGGAATCCCTACTGTCCACATTGCAACTGGGTCGTCCGGCCCCCAGACTGGGAATCCCCAGGATGGAAACTGTCCGAGGTCCCAGTGTGGCCACAGTGCCTGGCACAGCAGATAGCAGTAGAAAAAATGAAAAAGTACTGGTGCACTTCCCAGATGACTCCCTGTGCCCCCCACAGCCAGCCCCTTGTGCTGCAGGAAGAGGCCCCTCCTCACCCCCAAAGAGACCTGCCCTCCTGGATCTCAGCTCAGGGGCTGGCTGCTTTCTTGGAAAGCAGCCAGCACAGAATGGACCGGGGGCAGCATGCTCTAGGTGACCTCTCTCACCTCCCTCAGCTGGTCCTGGGCTGCTGCTTAGGAGATGCCCTCACCCTAGCAAGTATGGCTGAGTACCTAGGCATGCAGAGTCTGGTGCCAGGTGGGTTCAGGGCCCAGCCCTTCTACTTGGGCATAGTTAGCTTCCTGGGACCCTGCCCACCAGGGAGCTCATTTCTATAATCCTGACATGGGAAGCCACCACCCAGGATAACCGGGGCACGAGCAGTGAAAGCCAGATCTGACCTCCAGGGCAAAGCAGTCTCAGAGGAGGCAGAGCACTTGGGATCAGGAGATGGAGGGAGAGGCAAGAGGTAGAGGGCCGAGCTATGCTCCCCTAGAGTAAGTTGCCACATAAAGAAGTGAGCTCCCTGTCCCGGGAGGTGTGCAAGCAGAGACTGCATATTCATAATGATCAAATCATAACCAGCCCAGTACCGTGTCCCAGTCTGTAGAGTGCTTTCACAAACACCCCTCCTTTGATCCTCAGAGCAACCTCTGAAGGGCCAGTTTCCTGTGTGCTTCTTTCCTTAGGACAAAATTAACAAAGGGCGGGGGCATCTAAAGGTTGTGAGGATCCAACAAAATTATGTACATAAAAGCCAGCACACCTGGTGTGCTCCCTTCCTCTTGTGTTAGCTGAGTCTGTGCTATGTACCTAGCACTTTTCATAGTCCACTTCATAAGCAAACGTTGCAACAATGCTGTGAGGTGGGCATCGCGATCCCATTTCAGAGGGGAAAACTGAAGGAGAGTGACTTGCCCAGTGAGTTAGTGACAGAGGCAGGTATAGAACCTGGATTAGTCCTTAGAGCCAGCTCCTTCTATCCCCCTGGCCCAGTGCTTCCTTGAGAACACAGAGAGAACTCACTAGAGAGAGGGCTAACTTCGCTCTCAGACTGGGTTCTAGTCTCCCGCCCTCCTTCCCTCTGGGCCTTAGCAAAGATTGTTCTCTAAATGGAGACGTCCTCCCTGCACTCCCTTCCCTTCTCCTGGCTTATTCTCCCTATGCTTCTCAGTCTGAAGATTCCTCCTCAGGGCTACCTTCCCTGACTCCCCTCCAACAGGGACTAGTGCCCCTTCTATCGGCTCCCACAGTACCCCATGAGACCCCCACCAAGCTGTGAGATCCAGGAGAGCAGGGTCTCTGCCTGTCCTGCTCATTACCTGGCACAGAAAAGGCTCTAAATACTTGTCAGATACTCACTCTGCTTAAACAGATATTAACTGAGCACCTGCTGTAGGAGAAGCTGATATTAAATAGAATAATTGGGTGCACTTGGGTGGCTTGGTCGTTAAGCGTCTGACTTCAGCTCAGGTCATGATCTTGGGATCCTGGGATCCTGCCCAGTGTCGGGCTCCACACTCAGCGGGGAGTCTGCTTATCCCTCTCCCTCTGTCCCTCCCCCAGCTCCTTCATGGCACACACTCTCTAATAAATAAATAAATAAATAAATAAATAATTTTTTAAAAATCAGGGTTTGGTCAGTGCAGAACATCTAAGGGGATCAGGAGACAGAATAGGGTGACAAGAGGGAGCATAGTTATTCCTCCCCACACCACACTAGGTCTCTGTGGGGTAGCCTGAATCCCTTCTGCAGCTCCTGTCAGGGGACCCTTCCTATACAGGTATTTTGTGCAGGTTCCTGTAAGCTCCCAGTCCTCCCGTTCAGGACCTTAGAGAGCTAAAGTCTCCCTGCTGTTGGCGGCCACGGGCACTGCTTTACCCATTCTGGGAGGTCCTAAACACTATCTACGTGTTTGTAAATCGTTCCCTTATTAGACTATCCTCAAATTATCCCATTTGAGAGCTTGCCATCTGTCTCCTGCTGATAGTGACGACAATTTAACGAGTCTGAAGAATAGAAAGAGTAATATGGCTGAAGTGGGTGAGGAAGGAGGTGATATAGCTAAGGCAGGGCCTAGTCCTCTAGTAGGCAGGGACGAGGTCACTGCCGCCATTAGGACTCAGATGAAGGGATGGAAGGAAGAGCAGCTGCGTAAATGAAAGCACGTGCGTCACATTCACACATGCCGGCTTGGGTAAACCAGGAAACAAACGACGGAACCAACGGATGAAGGGCCTCCTGCCCTCTCTCCCAACCCACCAGGAGTATTCCGACGCTGTTTGTGTTCTTTACCTGGCAGGATGCTGGAGGGCCCAGCGCTGGAGGAGTCTGAACCCGGCTCCCTGGCGCCGTGCGCGGGGTCCTGCCACGCACAGCGCGTTCTACAGACTCTCAACGCGTACCGGCGGAGCGGCACTCTCACAGACGTGGTGCTGCGCGCCGGTGGCTGCGACTTCCCGTGCCACCGCGCGGCGCTCAGCGCGGGCAGTGCCTACTTCCGCAGCCTGTTCGCAGCCGGGCAACCGGAGCGCGGTCTGGCCGTGGTGCCCCTGGCGCCCGTGGCCTCGGAGGCGGGGCCGGACGCGGCGGCTGCGCTGGCAGTGGTGCTCGACTACGTGTACGGCGCGGGCGTGCGCCTGCGCGCTGAGGATGAGGCGGCGGCCGTGCTGGCGCTGGCTGAGCGGCTGGGCGTGGCGGGCCTGCGCGAGGCCTGCGCCAGCTTCCTGGAGGGCCGTCTGCGCGCCGCCAACAGTCTGGCGCTGCGCCGCGTGGCCGCCGCCTTCTCGCTTGCCTCGCTGGCCGAGCGCTGTGGCCACGTGCTGCGCCAGGCTTTCGTCGAAGTGGCTCGCCACGCCGACTTCCTGGAGCTGGCGCCCGACGAAGTAGCGGCGCTGCTGGCCGACCCGGCGCTGGGCGTGGCGCGGGAGGAGGCCGTGTTCGAGGCGGCCATGCGCTGGGTGCGTCACGACGCGCCGGCCCGCCGTGGGCAGCTGCGGCGCCTGCTGGAGCACGTGCGTCTGCCCCTGTTGGCGCCCGCCTACTTCGTGGAGAAGGTGGAGGCCGACGAGCTGCTGCAGGCCAGCCGCGAGTGCCGCCCGCTGCTGCTCGAGGCCCGCGCCTGCTTCATCCTGGGCCACGAGGCCGGCGCGCTGCGGGCCCGGCCGCGGAGGTAGGGCTCCTTGCCCCCTCGCCTTCCACCCGCCCTCATCCCCAATTCTGCAACCATTCATACTTGTGGCATCCTTTAATTCAATCACTTTATCGTGCCTCTGGAATGGGCTTTGCTCATTCATTCAGTACAAATTTCATGGGCTTGGTATTAGGAATTCTGCCCTTGGAGAATTCACAGCCCAGTGGGGGAGACGCAGGGATCTCACACCTTGCATACATCTTTCCTCTTGCCCATCCATCCATAATTCTGAGTGCTGCTCCTGTGCAGATCTTGTGCTGGGTGTCCCGTAATTGGAAATACCCTTTATCCTAAAAATAGGGCCTGGTAAAAAATGAAAGAGACTTACTCTCCCACCCCTGGAATGCCAGGCCAGACTTTGGGTGAAGTAGTCCAAGACAGGCTGTCATCCTCCAGGGGATAGAAGACAGGATGCCTCTGTCTTAACACACTGTGTCTCCAACACTTAAGCTCAGGGCGTGCTACAAAGAAGGTGCTCAATATTTGTCAAAGGAATAAGATAGGAAGCTGGTGGCTTGGTTTGGAAATTCTGGTGGAGTCAGAAGCCTGAGGGGTTGGTTAGTGGGAGGGGAGAATGTTTTACTGAAGGGGTGTGTATGCTAGTCCAATGGAATTAGTGATTAGGGAATGGGTTTAGGAAATGGTTATAGTAGGAGGGAGGCAGCAGAATTAGGTGGGGATGAAGGGCAGAAAAGGGTAAAGAGAATGGGTTAGTGGCAGCCAACCTGGGCTTGAATTCCAGCTTTCTCACTTATTGGCTCCATGACTCATGGCAAGCCAAAGTCTATGAGCATCAGTTTCCCATTCTGCAAAAGGAGGAAAACCCCTGCCTAATTAAACTATCATAAGGATTAAACGAGGTGACTTTTCTAGGTAAGGACTCTGTAATGATCCTTTCCCTGTAATTTAGATGTTGGTAGACTGGGATTAAGGATTGGTGACTTGTCTTCCCATCAATACTAGGGAAGGAGGTGGCAGAGTCCAGCATGGGACAGGCGGGCAGGGAGTGCAAAAAGGCATAAGGGCATGGAAGAGCAGCAGGATGGTACAGTGTGGTCAAAGAGAAGATGAGAGAGGGCCAAAACTTGGGTGTGGGTCAACGGGCATTGGGCTTATCCCCACGCCAGATTCATGGACCTAGCTGAAGTGATCGTGGTCATCGGCGGTTGCGACCGCAAGGGGCTCCTGAAGCTGCCCTTCACCGATGCCTACCATCCAGAGAGCCGGCGCTGGACCCCACTGCCCAGCCTCCCAGGCTACACACGCTCAGAGTTCGCTGCCTGTGCTCTCCGCAATGACGTCTATGTTTCCGGTGAGGGCAGGGCCGCAGCGGGAGCCCCCACAGGATTGGCTCTTTTCCTCTTCACGCCTCTCCCTTTTTCTCCAACCGCGAAGTGGGGGTGGGATTTTCCCTGATAACCTACAGCTATTGGCTGAGCTGGTGTGGAGTCCTGCAGGGCCAGTCATTGGTAGGACCCCGACTGCCATTCAGCAATGTCCACTCCAATTCGTATTACTATTAATTACTTCTCTTTCTCTAGCCAACTATGTACAGAACATTATGCTACACAGCTTACATAAGTTACTCAATTTCTGCTACAACCCCATTTTACAGGGAGGTTAAGAATTTTCCCATTATCTCAAAAATGGTTAAAGTTAGGAAGAACACGGATCGATTTGGTACCAGTGGATTGTGCCTCCCTGAGGGTCAGGCCCTAGAGAGAGAATAAAACAGGCCCTGCTCTCCTGGAGATGGGTAGATAGAGACTTCACTTGACCATCAGACTTTTCACCTGGACCTTGAAAATCTGGAGGAAAAAGCATAGGCAAAGGCATGAAGACAGGAATGTGAAGAAAGGAACCCCAGGTGCTCAGGTCTCCAAAGTGCAGGTTGAATGCGTCTGGGAGAGGAAGGGAGAGAGGTATTGTAGATGAGGCAGGAAAGGGAGTCAAGTGGGATCAGGGAGGCTTTGACTCCAGGCCGAGGTAGACTGCGCTTGTTGTAGGGAGCTATCAGTGTTTGGGAAGGATAAGGAGCAGCAGAATGAGCCAGAAAGGACTCAGGAACCATCCAGGCCACACTTATTACTGGACAATTTATCCAAAGCTGCAGATGGCCTACATGGTGAACACCATGTAGGGCCTCTGCTGGGTGCTGGTGGGAATACACAGAGGCAAAGGCTAAAAACAGAGCTGGGGCTTGGAGTCATGGGCTCAGGCTGAGGGATGCAGTCAGGGTTGTCCCCGGGAAGGCTGCTTCTAAGAGGTGAGTCACTGGTCAGTAACTCCGGGAGGAACAGGGAAGAGTCCACAGTCTGCATTCCAGGGCCTAACCCCACAGGGCATACCAGTGCTCAACTTGGGAGACTAGAAGTTCTGGTTCTGGTTATTGGAAGGACTAGAGTGAAAGGCTATGGGGCCTTCAGCAGGGCCTTCCTGGTCTCTAAGCCACATCTGAGTTTCCTGTCTGTAAACTGGGTACAATAATCTTAACACCTGAAAGGGTGAGAACAGACATGAAATCATGAAGGTAAGGGCAGGAATGAGGCAGGGTTACTGAATCACTCTCTACCTTTTCTCATCCCAGTGCAGGTGGCTCTGCTTTCCCTCTGCCCCCAGCCCGTTGCTGATGCTTGTTTTGGGCACACTGTTTACTTTTCTCTCCAGCTGAATTCTAAGTGGCCCCCTCTTTGCTTCCCAGAGTACAGAGCCTGGCATACCACCATAAGGCACCCAGTAAAGATCATCTCCTTCTCCCTAAATCTCTCAGGCCTTTCCCTTTAAAACTCCCCACCCCTTGTCCTAATTCACACCTTCCCACCATTTGTTCAAAGTACATTGTCTACCCTTAACTCTTCCTTTGGATCTGGGGGCCCTTGTTTCTAGGTCTTTAGAGGTGCTGTTGACCCCAAGAGGGTCTGGAGTCAACAGCTGCTTCTCTTTCCCCAGGAGGCCACATCAACAGCCGTGATGTGTGGATGTTTAGCACCCCTCTGCACACCTGGATCAAGGTGGCCTCGCTGGTCAAGGGCAGGTGGAGGCACAAGATGGCAGTCATGCAGGGGCAGGTAGGGACACAGCAGCTGCTGCCCTGTGGCTCAAGGCACAGATCAATGGACTTCCTGGGGGAAGATCCTATAAGACAGTCTCTCTGAAAGATGGGATTTCAACCACCAAAAAGAAAAGATACTTGCCTGAAGTTACATGATAATGCTACTAATAATACTAACTACGCTAACAGCACAGCCTAGTAGTCAGGGGTCAAAGTGTGGGCTGTGGGGCCAGACTAGGTGTGAATTTTGACCGGCCACTTAAAAAAACAAATCTATCTTTGTAAGCTAGGTCCTGAATTCAGAAAATAAAAATGCTTCTTAGGATCACTTAAGTAAGGTGATACACTCTCAATAAATTATTAGCTATTATTAAGCATCAGCTTGGTGTCGGATATTTGACAGGTCTAATACCCATCCCGGAGGCGGATATCATTACCCCCAGTTAATAGAAGAAGCCCGCTAAGGGAGGCTGCCCAGGCGCTGGCAGTGCTGGGATGTACCTCCTGTGGGTCCGGTGATAGTTTCTCCGTGCATAGAGGAGTTAGTGGGCTGAGACACAGAGAAGGCCCTGATCCTTCAGGAGGCATCTCCAGCATCCCACCCTTGCTTGTCCTCATCTGCAGCTGTTCGTAGTAGGCGGCTTCGATGGTCTTCGGCGCCTGCGCAGTGTAGAACGCTACGACCCCTTCTCCAACAGCTGGGCGGCCGCGGCGCCGCTCCCCGAGGCGGTGAGCTCGGCGGCAGTGGTGTCCTGCGAGGGCAGGATCTACGTGATCGGGGGTGCCGGCCAGGACGGTGTCAGCACCAACAAGGTGGGCATGGACAGGGTGCCGGAGGCCTGCTGTGTGCTGGGCACAGTGTTGGCACTTTCATGTCCTTGTCTGTTTTCTCACTCCCAACAGCCCTGAGGAGTTGACCCCCTGGGTTTCAGCAAGGAAGTGAGTTCAGAGACATGACCCCAAGGTCACACAGTGGGTCCAGACCCGAATATTTGAGCTGGTGCCATATGGGTTTCATAGATTTTAAAAATTAAGTTAGGGCAAGGGTGGGGTCAATTAAAATGTTTTCCCTTCATTCCAAACAAAACAAACAAACAAACAAACAAAAAACCCCACACACTATTGAAAACTTAGAAAGCACAGAGAAATAGAAAAAAAAAAAAATCACACATGATCCCACCACCAAAGGATAACTACTATTAATATTTTGGTGCACTGCCTTTCAGGCTTCTTCTGAATCTACTTTTGTGTTTCTTTTAGTTGTGTGTTCTTACTATTAGTAAATTTTGCATTCTGCTTTTTATTCTCATTTAAAAGTAAGCATTTTCCACATGCTGAGAAACTCTTCACAGCCGTCATTTCAATGTGTAATAGATTATGGAGTGGATGAACCATAGTCTAGAAACCAAATTTTCTGTTCTTGGATATTTAGGCTTTCTGTGAATGAAAATTAATCTTCATAGCAGCTTCCTCCCTCCCTCGATGGCCTCACAAGTCTGTTGTCCTGGGATTTGAATCTTTCCCTAAATAGGATCCCTCATCGCTCCTTATTCCACACCCCTCCCTCTGTCCCTCCAACACACACACCCCTTCCTGGGACTGGCTGGGGGAACTGCCCTTTGGTGCAGCGCTGATAGGCCATTCCAGGAGTCTCCAAGTAAACAAGTGAGGAAACAGAATAAAGGTGAACATGCAGGTAGTAGAAGCCCTCAGAAACTCTGGAAGGTGTGAACAGTGGTGGGCCTGGGAAGCCTGTGGACAGCTGTAGGAATGGGGGCTGCAAGACATCCCAGCTGGAATCTTGTCATGAGCTCAGAGCACAGGGGGAGAGAAGAGGGCTGACAGTGTACGCAATAAGAAATGCATCTCTCTAGGCTGGACCTGCTCTCTGAGGACCTTCTATAGCACTAGTGCAGATGGTACTCCCACCTCCTGGGATGCAGACCTTTTCTGGACCCCGAAAGATGAAGAGGCTTTGGACAAAAGGAGTCCAGGGCGGGGGCCAGAATGTAGAACCAGACTGAGCACACTTGAGGGCAGAGATGGTGGGCCTCCTCTGCCCTCCCCTCCACCCCCATATGCTAGCTCAGATCTGGTAGATAGAAGCAAAGGTGCTGAATGAGTCCCCCTGCTGGGGAGGTGGGAGGATTGCACAGCAGGGCAGTTGTTGGCGGGGAGGTGGTGAGGGTTCACTACAGCCTCTCCTGCCCCTCAGGTGCAGTGCTTTGACCCCAAGGAGGACCGGTGGAGCCTGCGATCTCCAGCACCTTTCTCACAGCGGTGTCTCGAGGCTGTCTCCCTTGAGGGCACCATCTATGTGGTGGGGGGCCTCATGAGCAAAATCTTCACCTATGACCCTGGCACAGATGTCTGGGGGGAGGCAGCTGTCCTCCCCAGCCCTGTGGTAAGTAGAGGCTCCCAGGCACAGCCTTAGTATTGGTTCCATTCAGGAGAGCAAAGTCCTGGGTCTAAGAATGTGGAACTCAGAGGTTGTGAGTCTGTCTGACTCCATGCTAGGCAATTAGACATAGTTTCTTAGCTTTGTCCTCATTAGGATGATCAGCCTTGTGTTCCACAGATGAAGAGACCAGCCTTGGAGAGACTGAGGCCTTGCCCAAGGCTGCCAGGTAAGCCATGCTAAGGTAGAGCATGGAACCCCAGTTCCAAGTGCTTTAGCCTTGGATGAGGGTCTTGGTCTAAATGACCCTGTAGTCTCTTGTCCTGAAGGCCACCAGCTGGGAGCCTGTTGCAGGGAGATCAAGGTAGAGAAGAGACTTGGTAAGTTCCCCTGCCCTAGTTATATCAGAGCAGGGAGGTCCCGGCCCTGGAGGCTCTGGCCCCTGCATTCCTGGCCTCCCCTATCTCTTGTACCCTTCCCCGAAACTCCAAAGAAACTACATAGGGGTATGGTTGGATTGGTGGTCCCTGCCAGTTCTGACCTTCAGTGATTCTAAGAGCTTGAGATTTCTGGCTTCTCTGAGTCTGAGATCTCAGGGCAGTAGTGGTGGCAGTGATGGTGATGGCTGTCACTGCTCCTGGAGTGCTTACTGTCTTCCTGGCACTATGTAAAATGCTTCACATGCTTAATACCATTAACTGTCATGGCAACCTTATGAAGAAGGTACGATTATTCTTCTTTGTAGGGGAGGAAACTGAGGCCCAGAGAGCTTAAGTGACTTGTCTAAGGCCATTTAGTAAGGGTTATGCCAGAGATTGAACTCAGATCCACCTAGTTCTTGCCTTTCTGCCATGCAGACTGCCTGCTCGTATTCTGTGGGTCAAGGTTTTATTGCCTGGCCTGGCCCGTTAGGGATAGAGGGAGCCCCACACTGGACCCCATAGCTGATTATCTTTCTGTTTGTCTATCCAGGAGAGCTGTGGTGTGACTGTGTGTGACGGGAAGGTCCACATCCTTGGTGGGCGGGATGATCTCGGGGAGAGCACCGACAAGGTCTTCACCTTTGACCCCAGCAATGGGCAGGTAGAAGCCCAGCCATCCCTACAACGCTGTACCAGCTCCCATGGCTGTATCACCATCATTCAGAGCCTGGGCAGGTGACTCAGACTTGAAAAGCCTGAGCCAGGAAGCAGGCTCACCACTGCTCCCCTCATGGCACCTCCATGTAAATAACCCTTAATTTATTGCCCCCCTTTCTTGTAGAAATAAAACCTCCTTCAAAGGTTGGGTCTCTGTTCCAGCTCAAGCCTGCTTTGTGTGGAAAAGTAATGCCCAGTATCTGCTCCCTGCTTTGACTCTTTACAAAGCACCTTCATATGTTACCTTATTTACTTTCAAAATGGCAGTGTGGACATGTTTTTAAAATTATGAAATATTTCATGCATAAAAAGTAAATATATATTTTTGTACAGTTTAAGAATTACAATAAAATAAATATCTGTGTTTCTACCATCTAGCTTAAGAAATAGATTGTTGGGACGACTGAGTGGCTCAGTTGGTTAAGCGGCTGCCTTCGGCTCAGGTCATGATCCCGGCGTCATGGGATTGAGTCCCACATCGGGCTCCTTGCTCGGCAGGGAGCCTGCTTCTCCCTCTGCCTGCCTCTTTGTCTGCCTGTGCTCACTGTCTCTGACAAAAAAATTTAAAAAAAATAAAAAATAAAATTCTCACAGCAACACCATGATACAGGTTATTAATGCGTATTAAAAAAAAAAGAAATAGATTGTTACAGTCCACAATAGCCAAACTATGGAAAGAGCCTAGGTGTCCATCAACAGACAAATGGATAAAGAAGATGTGGTATATATATACAATGGAATATTATGCAGCCATCAAAAATTGAAATCTTGGGGTGCCTGGGTGGCTCAGTGGGTTAAAGCCTTTGCCTTCGGCTCAGGTCATGATCCCAGGGTACTGGGATCAAGCCCTGCATCGGGCTCTCTGCAAAGCAGGGAGTCTGCTTCCCTTCCTCTCTCTCTGCCTGCCTCTCTGCTTACTTGTGATCTCTGTCTGTCAAATAAATAAATAAAATCTTAAAAAAAAGTTGAAATCTTGCCATTTGCAACGATGTGGATTGAACTAGAGGGTATTATGCTAAGCAAAATAAGTTAGTCAGAGAAAGACAATTATCATATGATCCCATTGATAAGAGGAATTTGAGAAACAAGACAGAGGATCATAAGGGTAAGGAGGGAGAAATGAAACAAGGAAACCAGAGAGGAAGATAAACCATAAGAGACTCTTAATCTCAGGAAACAAACCTGCAGGTTGCTGGAGGGGAGGAAGGTGGGAGGGATGGGGTGGCTGGTTGAAAGAAAGTTTAAAAAAAAAAAAAGGTGCCTAGGTGGCTCAGTGGGTTAAGCCTCTGCCTTTGGCTTGGGTCATGGTCTCAGGGTCCTGGGATTGAGCCCTGCATTGGGCTCTCTGCTCAGCATGGAGCCTGCTTCCCCCTCTCTCTCTGCCTGTTGCTCCGCCCACTTGTGATCTCTCTCTCTGTCAAATAAATAAAATCTTTTTAAAAAAGAAAGAAAGAAAAAAAGAGATTGTTACAAATGCCTTTGTAGATACCTCCATTCCCAAACCCATTCCTTCCCACATTCCTCCCAGAGGTAATCACTATCCTTAAATTAAGTTACTGGCATTTTTTAAAAACTTTTAATGAGCTAGTTATTAAGATTTGTATTTTACAGAAAAGGAACTAACTGCCTTAAAAGATGAGGAGACTTGCCCAAGATCATATACTTAGTAACTGGCAGAGTCCATAACTCATAAGATTTCATGAAGCTTCAGAATCCATGAAGCACTTCTAGTCAGGATGTTTCTCTTTCTAAACCACCCTCTACACCCTCTCCAATTCAAATACTAAGTGATAACTTAGTTAGATAAAATTAAAAGTCAAACAACTGAAAAGACAGAGGCTTAGGCTTTTAAGTGAGCAAACATGTCCAAGAACCAGAAACAATGGAATTATAAAACCATGAGGAAGGGAGAAGCTTCAGCTCTGGGTTTCAGACTCTAGGACAAAGCTTTAAAAAAAGGGATTACAAGCCAGTCTCACTGCTAGAAGACAGGGCCAATGTAGGGCTCCCCACCTCCTCAAAGAAGCAGAGAAAACAGAAAACTGTTGTGGGACACTGAGCAGCCCTGAGGCCAAGGCTCGAAGCAACTGCAGGCCTAGGGTAGTAGGAACCAGAGCCCCAGGCCTGAGAACCCAGCCATCCCAGCTCTGCACCTGGACCTGTGAGAGACCCAACATCACCAGGGCTGCGCCCCTCATGCCATCATAAGCACCTGGGTGGCCTAAGGCTCTATGGGCAGCAACATAAAACTGCTAGAGGAGGAGGGATGAGCTCAGAGGAAAGAGGGGACAAAAGATGTCACATATTCTGTGAGGCAGAGACCCAGCAGGTTCAGGTCCTATGCTTGTGTTTCTGAGGCCCAGAGGAGCTGGCCAGGTCCCATCTGCAGCTCGCCATCATGTGCACTCAGACTGCCTTTTGAAGAGCTATCATCTGCTCCTTGCATCCCCTCCAGCACAGGGCCAGCCCCATGCCCCTCCCTGTCTTCCGAAGCCCCAGGGCCCTATCTGTGGGGTCTCTCCAGCTGGGGCTGGCCCATCACAGCCCAGGACAAAGGCCTGGGTCCCAGCTCAGCTGCTACCCTCTGATTATCTCAGATTAGGGAGCCTGTGACCATCTGGACACAGCTGATAATGGCAGAGGGGAGGGTAGAGGAGGGGAGGGGTGTGGTGGGGAGGCGCAGACCCTCAGAGCCTGCCTATCCCCACCGCAGGGATAACACCCAAGACAAAGCAAAAAAGGTGCTGTATTGTTTGACCACCTAAACAAGAGCCTGAATGGAAAAGGCAGGGGCAAATTCAGGATAAGATTTGAGAACATGGGCACCTCACCTGGGCTGGGCACTTCCTGTATGCCAAATAGACCACCCCATTTCCTCAACAATGACCATTCATTCTATCCCATCCAAGTACCAATGCCCTTTCCTATTCTCTCTGCCTGGGCAGATCCAACACCCTCCACTCCAGAGCTGACTATTCTCTCCTTATGCCCTTCCTTATCTATCTGCCCCTTTTCCCACCAGGTATATGGCCAGGCCTTTATATATGACATCTCTAGTCTTCCCTGACATACCCATAGAATGCTTCTTGAGGCAGGAAAGGTGTCAGCTTGATTTTTCTATCCCCCAATGCCCAGAACAGGAGCCCACCTCACCCCCACCTCAGTATGCTATACCAGTTTCCTGGATTTCTATTTTATAGAAGGTAGGTAAGGTAGATACTATTGCCCCACTTACCAATGAGGAAACAGAGACTCAGAGCTGCGAAGTGATTTGCCTACTAACGTCACTGGTCTGCTGAGTGGTGGCAGAGCCAGGATTCCACCCTGGGTCCAGCTACCTCCAAAGCCTGCTCTCTCCATGAGGCCTCACCAAGGCTCTGCTGATCTGAGAAAGCTAATCTGAGAAAACAATGTTGAGGGTGGCACATGAGTTATTTAGAAGTAGAAAATATGGCAGTCCTCTCTTATCTGTGGGGGATACATCCCAAGAACCCCAGCATATGCCTGAAATCACAGACGGGAGCAAACCCTGCACACACACTGTTTTTCCTATATATACATACATACATAGGATAAAGTTTAATTTATAAATTAGGCACAGTAATAATAGATTAAAATTATAAAAATTATAACATACTATAATAAAAGTTATGTGAATGTGGGCTCCCTCAAAATACCTTTTTGTACTATACTTACCCTTCTTGCAATGATGTGAGTTGATAAAATGCCTACAGGATGAGATGAAATGAAGTGAATGACACAGACATCATGATGTAGCATTAGGCTGCTACTGATCTGACCTAAGTCACAAGGAGGATCGTCTGCTTCCAGAATGCGGTTGATCTCAGGTAACTGAAATTGCAGAAAGTGAAGCCACGGGTAAAGGGTTCAGGGGACTACTGTACATCATCTCCACCCTGGGAAATCCCAGCCTCATGTGATTTTGTCCCTGCCCTTAGGGGCCTCCAGCTGGATGAGGGGGAGACATGGTTCATCTCCCTGGTGAGTGAGGCTCACAGAACACAATACAAAGGTACACACCCATGTGTCCTAATTTCCTAGGACGATGGGTTTGACCAAGACCATATATGGAGGGCCTCCCTGGTTTCTAGCCCACTGCTCCTCCCCGCAACTGGGCGGCCTGCTGAATGAGAGGGACCATCACTACACAACAAGAAACCAGACCACAAGTTCTGAGTATATGACTCCTTAGCCACAGGGGTTTGCTATACTCTCCCCAGCTGAGAACACCCTTAACTCTCTGTATGCCATCAGAAGCCACTGGACCCAAATTTAGTTTTTGAGTTTCATTTTTAAGAAGTTCTATTTGTAAGGATCAATGTTTTATGACTGTTATTCTTAGCGGGCTTCTAAAAAACAATGAGAAATTTATTTACCTTCCAAAGACATAAAACTCATATGGATTCATTAGATTCTTTTATAAATCTAAATACATTATGAGATCATGATGAATTTATTTTTCCTGTATCTTGAAAAGCTTTGCTATTTCATCATCCTACAAATTATTTCATGTTACTCATCAGTGATTACCAAACAAGATCACGATGATAAAATGGAAGGATGGTATTGCCATCACATCGTTCTTCAGTTTCCATACTGAACTTCCCTTAAGTACTACAGATCATCTTTCAAGAAGGTACAAGAAGTCCAGAGACATTGGCTAAGAATTCAGGGTTTTTCATTTTCCACCCATAATGACAAAAGAGAAGCAAACTGACAGAGGATCTTTCACACTTAATCAGAAAATGAATGAAATCAGAAAATGAAAATCAGAAAATGAATGCAGAGACACATGGTAGTACTCTAGTCTCTGAGGATGGGGAAATTGCTCATATAAACAAAATCTTTCCTACGTGAATTTTTTTTTAAGATTTTATTTATTTGACAGATGGAGATCACAAATATGCAGAGAAGCAGACAGAGAGAGAGAGGAGGAAGCAGGCTCCCTGCTGAGCAGAGAGCCCAATGCAGGGCTCGGTCCCAGGACCCTGAGATCATGAA